AATAATGATTTTTAAAGCCATTTATTGAGCGCCTTCTGGGTGCCCGGTACCATTCCAGGAGTGGCCCTTCATGAACACTCACACACACAAAAAAAAGCCTATGATTTCGGTCTCATTTTGCCATTTTTAAATCGATCAACGGGTGATCACAGAATTTAAATTATTTTCCCAAGGTCACGGGAGCAGTTCATGGCAGAGTTGAAACCTGACGCCCAGGTTTTCTGGCTCCAAAGTCTGGGTTCTTGTCTCAGCCACGCATCCCTGAATTAGAGATTTTGTGCAAAGTGATAGAAATGGACACAGTCATGACCCGGCTCGGGCGCGCTCTGGGTAGAGCTAAGTAGATGCATGGATCCTTCCTTGATGAGGGAGAAGGTAGAAACTATGGATCCTTCCTTGATGAGGGAGAAGGTGGCGCCAAATGGGCTTTTATTTTTTTGGGGGGGGGGGTTACCAGGTATTGAACTCAGGGGCACTTGACCACTGAGCCCCCCCCCCCAGCCCTATTTTGTGTTTTATTTAGAGACAGGGTCTCTCTAAGTTGCTTAGTGCCTCACTTTTGCAGAGGCTGGCTTTGAACTCACAGTCCTCCTGCCTCAGCCTCCCAAGCCACTGGGATTATAGGCGTGGGCTCTGAATAGCCWGAGAATAAAGGTTGGAACCCAACACCTTCGTTTTTCATGGATGGAGCTGTACGTTCCGGCTCCATGAGCCTTCCGCACGCCAGCTCCTCCAAGGTCACCCAGTAGGAAAGGACACTTGCTCTAGACCTCCATGAACACAGGAGCAGCCAAGAGAAAGGCTGGCCAGGTGGCCAAGCAGGTGTGGCCAGATCCTTAATCATGCCTCCAACTACAGGCAGAAAAAAAGGTCAATGAACTCAGTCAAGCCAGTTCGGGAGTCTGAATCAATCCATCACCCTTGGTGCCAACCGGCCTTCTTGGAACGGCGTCCAGAGACAGACTCGTTGCAGRGCGGCTGCCAAGTCCCATGCACGCTGGCGGCAGGGCGCGCCTCCTGCTGTCCCCAGGCCTGAAGCAGTGGGAAGGGGGGCGGGTATTAACACCTGGAGACACACTCTCTTAAGAAGGACAGCCAGGTGCTAGACAGAGAGCCTGTCATCCTTCAGACTTCCCTGGCCTGTCCTTGCTGACTGACCTACCTGCGTTCACTATTGTTCTCACCACTGTCTTGATCACATCTGTATACCAGAGCCTGTCCGACGTGCCTTCGTCGATATTTATGCATTCGACACTCACAGCAGTGCTAATAAGGTAAGAACTACTATCTCCCCCATTTCAGCTAAGAATCTAAGGCAAGAAGATATTTAAATAATTGGTCCCAAGGTCCTGCAGGCTTAAGCCCTAAGTAGGCTGGTTCCACAGTCTGAGGTTGGAACCCATACAAAATACTGCTTCTCTGGTGTTCCTTGGAGGCACCGTCTAGTCCCTACTCTCGAACCATGGGGTGAGTGTCGGGGACTGTCATCTCCAGGAGTGGGCCCAGGGTTCTCCAGAGAAACAGAGCCCCTGGGATGGAGGGGGATGTCGATGTGGGTACAGGGATGGATCTATCAAGTGATTATGAGGCTGTGGTATACTCAGTCCAAAGGATCCAGTGGCCTAAGTCCTGGCCCAATTCTAAAGGTTGAAGGACCAAGGGCACTGAGATCTAAAGTGTGCCAGGGCGGGTGTCCCGGCTCTGACAGAGAGGGTGATCCTCCTTCTTCTACCTTTCTGTTCTATTTGGACCCTCAACAGACTAGGGATGCCCGTCTACACTGGTGAAGGCAATCTTCCTTCTTCAGTCCACCCTCTGAAACACTGATCCCTTCTGGGAACACCCTCATAGACCTCAGAATACGGTTTTCAAAGCAATCTGGGCATCTCGTAGCCCAGTCAAGTTGACACATGGAATTCACCGGCACCAGCCTAGCCTGGCTCCACCCGGCACCCTCCCCGTCCCTTCAAACCCAACTGAAATTTCCAAAATAAAAAATAATAATAATAATAACAATAACAAGGCTGTAATTCCACCCGAGTCAATACAAGGAGACCTTGCACAACTGAAAACCACACCAATCCCTTCCCCAGAGGAGGTAAAGTCCCCGAGCATCTGTTTCTCTTCTCTGGAAATCCTGCATCGTAAGTACCGACATGTCAAATCAACCGTGCTGAAATACGGATAGGAAATCAATGCATCATATGATCAAGGACAAGAGACTAAGACAGGGAAGAAAACAAAGATAATTGCTTCATATTTGTGGGTGTGTGTGTGTGTGTGTGTGTGTGTGTGTGTATACACAAAATGGATTCATAACAAAATTCAGAGAGAATTCACAATCAGTCTTTATGCCTCCAGCTGATCACAAGGTCATCAGTGGTACCTAAAACCACTTCCTGCTGCCCATGTGTTTCCCTTTTGCTCTCAGCAAGCCCCGGGCAGGGTGACCCACACTTTCTCCCCTTAACCCTGCCGGCCTGGGCTGCTGCCGTTGCCCGTTGACCCCAATCGCGGTACGAAGAGACGCCCTAAGGGCGCCCTGTATTCCAGGCCCGTTCTTCTCTTGCTCTGTTGTGGAGTAGTCCGGCTTCCCAGGGTGAGTCCAGAGCAATCACCCCGGCCAACTCCATCCCTCTCTCTTGACCTGTTGACACCGAGGCACGAGGGGCCCCCCACGTGGCCAGCTGGTGGCCTTAACTTCCAGTTCCAACAGAATCCATCGTACAAGCCCCTGGGACGAGCRGCTCTCCTGCCGGAGCTGAGACCTCTAGGCCGGGGACGAGGCAGCAAAAATATGGAAGGGGTGAGGCCTCTCTCTCTGGGGTCCCTCTTAATAAGGCATTCATTTCATTCCAAGGTCCCTACCTCCTCCTGCCATCACCTTGGGGCCTAGGATGCCAACCTATGAATTTGGGGAGGGAGACAAAGCATTCGGAAACCACAGCAGCACGTGACCAAGCCAGCGTAGCYAATCGGCTTAAGCCATTGTTCAGGCTCCATGTGACTTGTGGTCCACTGAGACCTTAGGTCTTGGCCCCGGGGTGTGAGCGCCATCCTGCCACCACAGGAGAAAAGCCTTCCTGAAAGTGAGACCAATCCCGAGGAAGGCTGAGCCGAGAAGTAGAGAAAGAGGATCCTGAGGACTTTATTTAAGCCCTTTTGATTTACGGTGCCTAAAGCCAGTCCTCGGACTTTTCCATTCCAGGGACCAAAAATGTCCCTTTTCATGAGATCCAGTTTGAAAATGAGTTTCTGACTCCGGCAACAGATACATCTGACAGAGAGAGGCAGAACATGGGAATGACGCCCCTTGCCTACCACCTCAGTGTCAGGTCTTGGTCTGATCTGAGAGCTACGTAAGGGGGTCAGGCATCTCCCCAGAACCCCCTGCCTGGTTTCCTAGGGAGCAGCAGAAAAAACAGCCCTCGAAGGGCCAGGGAGTAGGAGGCAGASAACGTGGCCAACGGTTCCATCTCGGCCGACAGAGCCGCAGGGCGCGGGGGCCGTGCTAGGTTGGGTGGAGTTCTGCACCTCGAGTCCTCATTCTCCAGGTGAAGTGTCAGCAGCTCGGACTCTCAGGCATGCGCATGAACAGGGCAACAGAGATGTCCCCTGAGTTTCAGCGAAATGGCCATGGAACACTGGCAGGAGGCTAACAGGACATTCAGGGACAGAAGGTCATCACCACTCATTTSAGACAATCCGAGGTCAGCGGTCAGTTTTGTGCATCACAGGACCTGAGACTAAGCCAGTGGGGAAAATTCTAGAAAGCAGCAGAAAACAAGGGAACTAGGAGTGTGGCGTGGGGTGTGGGGCGTGGGGCATGCTGAATGCAGGTCCTCACTGAACAGCGGAAAGCCCTGGCAATGAGGCAGCTCTAGCTGCATAGAAAAGAATACCCCAAGACACTTGACCAAGGAGAACGTCTTATCTCTTTGATTAGAGGATAAGAAGGCTCAGAAGTGACTCAGCAGCTCAACAGTGTCATCAGCGACCCCTATTCCTTCAACTCTTCCACTCTGCCATGCTCAGGAAACCAGCTGTGTCTCCCTCGTTGACCCAAAAGAGCTGCCACAATGCTGAAGCACACATCCTCACACAAAAATATCCGAAAGTAAAAGGAAGGGATGTCTCTTCCTTAAAAGAAAGGAAAACTTTTTCCTTGAAGCCTTCCCCCAGTCTTCCCCTCAGGTCCCAACAGCAGGTTTGGGGCACACATTCTCAGTTTCTGGGAACACAAGGTMTCAGACATTTTCAATTTCTGGCATGAAAAGCAGACTCTGCCCAAAGGAAAGAAGAGGGTGAGATCTATAAATTGCTATTGTGTCGGCAATCGACCAAGTACCCCAAACTTGGGACAAACTTGTACCCAAACTTTTGCCGTATCCGTCTCATCCTGTCATTGACTAAATATTTTCCTTCAATCAACTTATCTTTGCTGAACCCCCAAAACCTTTACTGAGGTAGGAAATTTCATATCCCTATAGTAAGTATAAAAATGCTATGAAATCTGGTTTTCTAATCCATATTAAAACAAGTTCCTGAGGATCCAAACAAAAAGTCTTTGTCTAGCTTCCCGACCTCCCACCAGACTTTGGGATGCCCAGTTGGGGGATTAACTCATTTCCTCCTAATTCTTGGTCCTCGATATCAAGACCTCCCGAACTCAGAACTATAAAGTGCATTGAAGGTTGCCCCAAAACTACCTTGTCCAGGAGGCCAACCAGGAAGAGCTTGCACACACCCTGTACCCTGCTTCAAGGGTGAAGACGTTTAGCAAAATCATACCAGGGAAACTCTGTCTAGCCAAGGCCTCTCTCGATACATTTTGTTCCGTGGTTTCCCCCACTGCAAGGACTGTCTCAGAGGCTGTGGGGGCCACCAAGGCYTTAGGGTGAGAAGAGCCTCACTCGTCCGTCTAAGCACACCGCGAGCATTCATGCAGAAGAATGTGCCACCTCGGGACACAGAAAAAGCCACCAAGGTGCATTACTTACATCAGAGGCTGGGCCCTTATCCGCGCCGGGGCAGGAGAATGTGACGAATTCATGACACCGCTTGTGCACGACAAAGCAGCAAACTGCAAAAGAAGAGACAACGGGGTGAGAGGTTGGGAAGAAGGAGCCGKAGGGGTCCAGGGTGCGGAGAGATGGTTAAACTTGGACTTCACCCAAGAAAAGGTTTCACGCCAAAATAAACAAGAACGTTTTGCATTTTGTCCTTTGTGGATGGTAAACTCTCGTGTAGACGAAGGTTGCACCTCGCACCCTGGCATTGACTGGGGTTAACTGGGGTTCGAAAGATCACATATGCTCCAGGTCACCTGAAGATCCCTTAAAGGGCCTAGACTTCCATGGGTCTAAAAATACAACACTGTTTCTTAAATCAGGCAGCGGATGGAGCAGATTGTGTTTAGGCCCACACGTGCGTATTGGAATTATGGGCATTAAACGCCTCTACGGTGTGGCTCTGCCACCTGGAGATGGGTCAGAGGAAGGGGTAGCCAGACAATATATGCAAAATACAAGTGATTTTTTGTTTGTTTGTTTGAATCTGTTTTTTAGTTTTGTCTTTTACAGTCTTTTATAATCTCCTAGTTCCRGGAGAACAGGCACCAAGCTTTCAAACCCGCTCAGAGCCTTTCTAAGGTGCTTGCTGAGTACACGAAAGCTACCCCCTAGTGATATAATGCATCCAGACAACCATCCGCAATAGCGGCTCAATTGCAAAATGCTACCACCGGCCTCGACAAAAAGTGACCCCGCCATCTAGGAAGGACTCAGCCAAGTCACCAAGTCTGTGTCAGTTCAGGCCTCTTAATGCAACTACAAATTTACAAAAAATACAGGCAATGGGGAATCATGTTCAATGACACCACAGAGAAGCCATCGCCCAACCTCCAATCCTGCACTCACATGAAAGGAACAGAATATGGGCAAGTTCAAAAGCAACCAATATGATTTTTTTTCCCACAAACTGCAAGAGGGAGGATATAGAGGAGAAACTTACATATTCAAACAAATTTAAGAAACAGATCCAGGCTGGGGTTGTGGCTCAGTGATAGAGTGTTTGCCTAGCATGTGTGAGGCACCACATATAAATAAACCAATCAAATAAAGGTCCATCAACATCTAAAGATAGATAGATAGATAGATAGATAGATAGATAGATAGATAGATAGATAAAAGAAACAGATCCATTAAATGCAATATATAGTGGACCTTCTTGGAATCCTAATTTGCATAAACAAATAGTTTAAAAAATTATGAGGCACTCAGGGAAATGATATATTGGCTATTTTTTTAAAGATAGTAGGGAATTATTATAATTGGTATTAGGGAAATAGAAAAAWTTTGGTGTAATCATGGTATTGTGGCTTTAAAAAAAATAGAATTCTTATCCCTGCAGATACATCTTAAACTCTTTGTAGATAAAATACTTTAATTCATGGGGTTGGGATTGTGGCTCAGAGGAAGAGTGCTCGCCTCACATGCATGAGGCACTGGGTTCGATCCTCAGCCCCACATAAAAATAAAATGAAGATATTGTGTCCACCTATAACTAAAAAAATAAATACTTTAAAAAATACTTGAATTTAAAATAATTCAGTATGTTGGGGTTAGGGTTATTGATGAAAAACATTGGTTCTAACAGGTCATTTGATTGAACCTGGGTGATGTACACATGAGGATTCATTATATTAATCTGTCAACTTTTCTACATTTTTATACTTTCCATACATATAAAATTTTAAGAGAGAGAGAGAGAGAGAGAGAGAGAGAGAGAGAGAGAGAGAGAGAGAGAAACAGAGAACATAAGTCGTAAGACGTGGGGATAAAATTGAGYCAGGCACAATGGCGCAGGCCTGTCATCCCAGCAGCTCGGGAGGCTGAGGCAGGAGGATTGTGAGTTCAAAGCCAGCCTCAGCAACAGTGAGGCTCTAAGCAACTCAGTGAGACCCTGACTCTAAATAAAATACAAAATAGGGCTGGGGATGGGGCTCAGTGGTCGAGTGCCCCTGAGTTCAATCTCCAATGCACCACCCCCCCCAAAAAAGAAGAAAGTGTGCTATAAAATTGAAACACTGAGTTTTCCATTCCTTGAGAGATGATAGGTATTGAAAAAACCCACACATCGGACATTATAAGCTTCCATGTGTGTGTTAACAAGGCTAGAAGTCAGAACAGAAATACACAATATAACTTTCAAGAGGCTGTAAGGAAAAACTAAGCAAAGGATACAACATTTCAAAAGCCTTCATGCACTAAGGTCACATAAATATTATTCTTTTTCCTCTTCATTTTAATCCATCCGCAATGTCTTGGAACCTGATGCGAAATGAGAATCGAATTTGCCCTTTTTTTTTTTTCAAAATAGGTAACCAATTGTCCCAGCACCCTTGATTGAATAATTCATCCCTTTCCCACAGACTTCAAATGCCAACTTTATTATAGTTCAATAATTACACACACTGGAGTCTGTCTCTGGGCCTCCTGTTTTTTCCACTGATCTGTCTTGAAGTGTGGCAATAGGGGTTTTAATTATAGTAGCTTTGTAATAGGCTGCATCTTGGCAGGGAAGCCCTCTCTCATTATCCTGATTTTCAACATTTTCTTAGCTATCACCGCATGCTTATTCTCCAAGAGAACTTTAAAATTTGTTTCATCAAGATTTTTTAAAAATCAGAGGAAATTTTTTACTGGAATTGCACTAAGTCCGTCCCTGCATCCAAAAAAAAAAAAAAATGATTGGGACTTTGAGTGAAATGATCTTAAAATTTAGGAAATAAATTCAAGATAATGGACGTTTGGATAACCCCAGGTCATTCCCCCAGGAATTKATCGTTATCGTGTTTGAAGTCTTATTTTACATCCCCCCAAGAAAGTCTTGAGTTTTCTCCATATTCCTCTGGGTTTTATTCTACTTTATGAATTGTTAGTCTTGCTTTTTTTTCCCCCTTCGTCCTACATACCTGCATTTGCATTATATCATGCATTGGTTAGGAATATGAATTCTGGAGTCAGGTGGCCAGGTTTGGATCCTCTGTCCAAACCTTAATAGGAGGGGGTATATTATCTGATCTCCTGGAGCTTCCGCTTCCTCTCTGCACTATGATAATAATAATAACAGTCCCCAAAACGGTGGCATGGTCAGACTTAGAGGAATTCACCCACACTCAGAACTGGGTCGACCTCGGAATGAGTTTTCTACAAATGTCTGCGACCATCACGCACTGCTCTTTTCAACGCTGTTTGAATTGACCAGTTAATTTACTCCCGTTCCTCTTCATTAAAAATTTAAAGACTTTAAGGCTAAAGACGTCTCTTTTAAGTATCATTCTGGATGCATCTTGTCTTTTCTATTTAGCTCCATTATTTTAAGTTTCTCAGTGGTCTCTGACAGAGGTTTAGATTCCCTCCTTGACCCAAAACAATTTGGGAATTGTTCCCCCGCCCCATTTTCAAGTAGGTGATTTGTTCTAGAAGCTTTCTTCTAACCTTCCAAAATATCCACTCTGACCTTACTTATCCTGATGCACTTTTTTTAGAGAGACCCATCTCTAGCCTCCTAGCATCTATCCCAACTCCACGTACGTAACTGATATTCAGTAAATGGATGTTTGGCGAGTGAGTGGGGGAGAGAATGGATATCACCAGCCATAATTCTGGGGTCATGTCCTGATGGGGCATTGCATCCATGGGTGGTCACCACCGGGGAGAGTGACAGGACATCCATCCACCGTGGATAACATCTCTTGAGGCATCCTTCCAACCGGCCACAGAGATAAACAAGCCAGACCCACTGAGGGGGAATCAATGTGTCAAGGGACCCGCCTCTCCTCCCCCCACCCCACCCAGCACCTGCTGTGGAGCAGCTGGGAACAGCCTGGGGGAGGTGGGGCTTCCGGAGCAGGTAATTCCTCTACTCTGAAATGTTCCTGAGAAGTCAAGCACATCAGATTCCCCCATTAACGAAAACACTTTCAAGAAAGGAGTGGGGCTGGCTATTTTAAGAAACAAACTAGATGATCCTTTTTGTGAAACAAATAAACACCCCCTCGTTTCTGTTTGGCAAATTCAGGGGGAAGAAGACGAAGCTCTTTCTTCAAGAACAGGCTGCCGTGTTTACTGGATTGTTGGAAAAAGGTACCAGGTCCGACTCTCACCCAGGTAGCTGGGGACAGCCAAGAATCCCTCAAGGCTTCGTGGTTTATTCAATTACTTCTYTCGCTCTGGGGTTGGAAAGCCTGGAGCCCCGAGCCCTGGGCACCCCATGCATCCACCTGCTTTATTAGGGCTCCACAACAGGGGTCTCCAGCTCAAATGCCCAAGGGCTAGGTGAGCAAGGACGATGTCAAGGTCAAGAAGCGGGCTGCACACACGTGGCCTGTTTAGAAGGGGAAGTGTCTGTCCAATTCCAGCCAAGAACAAGAAAGAAGTCCTGAGTTCTGTCGGATGACATGCAAGGTCAACAAGGTCATGTGCCACCTGTGTTATAGTGACATGAAGAATCTCATCCCAGCAAAAGATCACGAACCCTTGATGGATTCCAGAATTGGCAGATAGAGTCCCATTCAAGGGACCTCTGAGGTATCTTCCCCGGGGAAAGCACTGAGAACCCCAATTCTGCTTCATGCTGCATCTGCTGCCACCGCCCCCCCCCCCAATTCCCGGCACTTCACCACTAAAATTTACTCATTACAYCCCAAAGGAGAGTAGACTGAATCATCAGATCTTATGATTGCTTCTTTGGCATTGATTCTCCTTGTTCCCCCCAATTCTCACTGGAGTCCACAATAGAAAACCGATGTCCTGGGGAACCCATCTTTGCCCCTAAACCTACAGACAACCTGAGGGAGAAAATCCAGCGCTAGTTGCAGATACCTGGGATCAAAGAAGAAAGAGAAGGGCCCTCAGCACTTTCTCAGGCTCTCAAGTCCCTCCAGATGCCYCACACCAGCCAATCCTCACGGACAAAGCCCCTCACATGCAGGAGTTACTGACCAAGCCTCTGGAGTCAGCCTGACCACAGTTTGAACTCTCCTTTTACCACTGATAAGCTGAAGAACCCTCACCCACT